TTCTGATCATTTAACTTTTTCTTTTGAAGCTCTTAATATCTTCAGAATAAAACCAAAGGCTGGCCCTGGCTGAATTGGCTCAGTGGATAGAGCATTGGCCTGTGGACTGAAGGGTCCCAGATTTGATTCTGGCCAAGGGCACATGCCTGGGTTGTGGGTTCGATCCCTGGTGGGTGGCATGCAGGAGTCAACTGATGGATGATTCTCACTTATCATTGATGTTTCTATCTATCTATCTCCCTCTCCCTTCCTCTCTGAAATCAATAAGAATATATTTTTAAAAAACCCTCAAAGAATGAATTATCAATGGGCAAATATCACTTTGAGTTTTACTGATTGTATTTATTTCCTTTGTTGAATTCCCATTTATAGCATCTGTTTTGCTTGATTTACTTGCTTCTAATTTTCTTTTGCTGACTTTATTTCTATATACTTACTATTAAGGAAGCACTTTATAACCCAAACAGTGATCCAGATAGCTGCTCCAGGAAATGTTTGGAATGAGGCAGCTCAATTTAGCTGAATTGTTCTGTGTCAATGGGTTACAGGAAGGAGTGTGAAAGGTCCCTATGGGGAAACTGGTGAGTTTTCCAGCTTCCCCTTCATTGAATTTTCATCTTGTGTCATCATTATTTTGTTTTAATGAATTCCCAGAACAATAGTCATCTGAAAATATGACTATAGAACATGTCCAACAACCAAACATAAATTATTTTTGGATTCCCCATACATTTTCTTTCTATGATTTGTGTGACTCATGTAGAGTTGCTAGAACTGTGTATTTTAAATATTTCCTGAATGAGACATTTAAACAGTGGAGAGAAAGGGAAAAGATTCTGCATTATTTTTCAAATTGTTTTTCTGCGAGTGCCCCCACGTTGGACTGCCAGTTGCAAGTGTTACCCCCCACGTCCCGCATGGTTCAGGGTTCAGGTTCAGGGTTCGGGCTCTGGAGGAGGCCGCACGCAAATGAAAGAGACTAGACAAGGAAATATTAATTTGGGAATTAGAGGCCAGGTGGAAGCCCAAGAGAGGACTCTGCTCTAGCCTTGCGATTCCCTTTTATTCAGATTTGGGATCCACCTATGGCCCTTAGGCAAGCAATTCCAGTAATAGCCCCATGATAGCAAGGATTTACGTAAGACTACCAGGTGGGCCAAGACCAGTTTGGCTCAGTGGATAGAGTTTCTGCCTGCTGACTGAAAGGTCCCAGGTTCGATTCCAGTCAACAGCATGTACCTTGGTTGCAAGCACATCCCTGGTAGAGGATGTGTAGGAGACAGCCGTTGGATGTTTCTCTCTCATCAATGTTTCTAGCTCCCTATCCCTCTCCCTTCTTCTTTGTAAAAAAATCAATAACATATATATTTTTTAAAAAGACTACAAGGTGGAAGTTGCTTCACCTCCCTTTGTCTCCACCAGACAGTGGGTGCATGGCTCTGATCCTTGCCAGAGCCTCAAGGTTGACCAGCCTTCCGGGTTCCTTGTCCACCCTTTTCTGTTAATGAAGGCAATGGGAAGCTTCCAACAGTTTTCCTTTCTTTCAGAGCTAATTACTATATGGAATTCATGGGCATTTAATAAATTTAAAAAAATGAAAATCTCCTGAGGTATGCTACTCTGTTAGACTCGTATTTTTATCAGCTAAAATGGTGCTTGTTTTCAGTTAAGATTTTAGAAACCTGGAATACCTATTCCTGACATTAAGTGCTTTTTGTAGGTTCATTGAATGTAGTAAATCCCAGAGCTAGACAAATGTTAGCTGCAAATATTGACTCTAATGCCACCTGCATTTTAAAAGGAAAGTTGACGTGGAGGGTGAGGGCAGAGAACATGCCTTCTTTGCATTTTAATTTTTTTGTGCTTAAGTTAATGTTATTTCCACTGTACCCCTTCCCATCCCCGTTATTTTATTAAGTTTGAAGTAGCTACAGAAGTGTCAAGTGGAGTTCTTGGGAATTTAAGACTGGAGGTTGAGGTGAGAGCTAGAGAGATAATAGATTTCCTTAAAGGGTTAAATTAAGTACAGTAGTCCCCCCTTTATCCAGTTTTACTTTCTGCATTTCAGTTATCCATGGTCAAACTGTGGCTCAAAAATATTAAATGGAAACTTCCAGAAATAAATAATTCATAAGTTTTAAATTGCACACCATTCTGAGTTCCAAGATGAAATATTGTGCTGTCCTGCTCCATCCATCCCATCTGGGTGTGAAATCATCCCTTTGTCCAGCATATCCATGCTGTATCCACTGCCCACCTCAGTTGCCATAAATATCTATTCCCTAGAAGTGCAGCTGAGATAGGGAATTTTTATAAGTTCATTGTTGCAGGAGGGCTTGGAGAAGGGAGTGAAGGAAGTAGGATAGAGAAGTGGGGAAGAGTTCAGTGAGGATAAAAGGATTGGGGAACACTGAAGGAACTCTACTAAGATCACAAAGCGTGAATTCTTAGTGTTCTAGGACTCACTTGATTCCCATAGCATAGAGATTTTGTAGCTGAGAAAATGGTTTGATGATCAATAATTTTGTACATTAATACCTTTGTGTAAATCACCTACCTTTCCTTTATGATCACATCAGCATAGTAATGTTCCTGGAGGAACCTATTGTTTACTGCATATCTGCCCAGAGTTCAAGTTATTTGTGCATATTGGGAATGTGTTTCTTTGACTTATATTCATCCTTATCTGCAAGTGAATGGAAGGTTTCCTTTGAAATATATGTTCTCTTGGTTTCAACTATCACCTTGATGTTGAAAACTTCCATGCCTTTGTCTTCCAATCTTCATCTTATCTATCCTAACCAGCATCATTGTTGTATCTGTCCCACTATCCCACAGTGATTTGTACGTAGGAGGTGGTTCATAAATGTCACTCACACTTCAGTTAGGCTGGTCTCTTTATTACTGTGAATATTGTGAAATTAAACACATGATTTAGACTTTAACTTTTTTCAAACACTAACTGGACAAGTTACTTAGCCTCTCAGCTTCAGTTTCCTTATCTGCACTAGGAGTGATAAAGCCATAGTATAGGGACTTTGAAAAATGAAGTGGAAGTTCACTTTAAGCACATAAGCCTGAAAATTGATAAGCACCTGGTAAATGTCATTTCTTTCTCCTTTATGCTCAATGTTTAAAATATTTGAATTTATCTGTCGTGATTCCAATTTTTCAGGCCTATTGCTTAATTTGTCCTGTTTAGTTTTTACCATATTCATCACACACGATTCTGATAACCCAGAGTAAGAAGTTTTTTTTAAAGTGTTGGAATACCACAAAAATAATATTATTTGCCTAATCCAATAGAACTTTCCTGACTATGATTCTCAATCAAGATTTCATTTTAAAAAAAATTGGAGGGGTCCTAGCCAGTTTGACTCAGTGGATAGAGTGTCGGCCTGCCGACCAAAGGGTCTGAGGTTCAATTCTGGTCAAGGCCATATATCTTGGTTATAGGCTCCTCCCTGGCCCAGACCCTAGTTGGAGCTCATGCAGGAAGCAACCAATCAATGTGTTTCTTTCACATCACTGTTTCTCTTCCACTCTCTCTAAAAGTCAATGAAAAAATATCATCTGGTGAGGATTAACAACAACAACAACAAAATGCAGGGATAACATAAAGTTGGCTATAATGATGGCTTTTAAAAAATAGATAAACTAAGATTTTTTTTAGTAAAATTTATATCTGAAGGTTTACACTTGGGATGTCAAAAATGTTTCATCTTTCATATTAAATTCATGAGCAGAGAACAACATTGAATAGCATAATATGCCTCTTTCCCCCAGTATTTCTTTTTTTTAAATTTCTTTATTGATTAAGGTATCACAAATTTGTCTTAACCCCTCATTCCAATCCCCCATTCCCCCCAATCATGCTGCCACCCCCCCTATTGTCCTCTGTCACTGGTTAGGCTCATATGTGTGCACATAAGTCCTTTATTTGATCTCTCCCTTTTATCCCCACCCTCCCTTTGAGATCCATCAGTCTGACCCATGGCTCCTTATCTCTGGGTCTGTTCTTGTTCATCAGACTATGTTGTTCACCATTTCCCCTAGATGAGTGAGATCATGTCCTACTGGAAATATACTTATAAGAATAAAATATGAGACAAGCAATAACCGTTATGCTGAAAGGCATATGAATCAGTCTATAGAGAGTTTCTTTCTGGGTCCCCAGTATTTCCGTGCATTTATGTTGTCTTAGGAGCTCTGGGAGACTCAATGGCGTAAGATAATGTTTCTTGTCTCCCAAATGGCCACCACATTTCTCAATACTGATGTGTAGTTTTTACTTCAGACGATTACTTGTGAATTACTGTGAGTTTTGTGCATATGTCCTCATTTGGTGTGTTTGCATTGTTCTAAAAAATGCTTTCAGCTACATGGTAAGGGTAGAGGTACACTACATTTAGAGGGTAACTGAATATACTAAGTAGTTTGCATGCCTATATTGTCAAAAGAAGAGTATGAAAAAAGACATAAGAGTAAATATAACCCAAAAGGTGAAAACTACCCACGTGCCCATCAACTGATGAATGGCTAATCAAAATGTGGTAAAGCCATACAATGGGTATTATTCAGTCCTAAAAAGGAATGAAGTACTGATACATGGTATAATATGGATAAGCCTTGAAAACATGAGAAGTGGAAGAAGCCAGACTCAGAAGGCCACATATTATATGATGACATTTGTATGACATATCCAGAATCAACCAATCATAGAGACAACAAGAGAATGGAGGTTATATGGGGCTGGGGTGAGGATGGGGAGTTATATTTACTTGATACAGAGTTTCTGTTTGGGGTGATGAAAATTTTCTGGAAATTGCTAGTGATGATAATTGTGCAACATTGTCAGTATACTTAATCCTGCTGAATTATCTAGTTTAAAAATGGTAAATTTTATGTTATATGTATTTACCACAATTTTTTAAAAAAGAATAAATGTTAAGGAGCTTGTAGATCATTATAATAAGCCTCCTGTTTTTCTTTCTGCACAGGAGCCATGGATAACAGAGGCTTTCAGCAGGGCTGTTTCAATAGCTTCCAGAGCAGCTCCAGTGATGAAGACTTGGTGGATATACCAGGGACAGCTATGAATTTCTCCCTGAGAGATGATGTTCCTCCCTTAGATGGAGAAATAGAAGGTATCATTATCGCTGATGACAAATTATCTTTTTAAAATTATTTTTTAATGTACATATGATAACATTTATTTTCTGGTGCATAGTCCAATGAGTTTTAACCCATGCATAGATTCTGGTATCCACCACCATCAACAAGATACAGAATAGTGTAACATCCCTTTGTAGCCAGACCTCCATACTCCCAACCCCTGGTAACCACTGATCTATTCTCTTCCCTTATGGTTTTTCCTTTTCAAGAATGTCATAGAAATCACAACTGGTGGGCTCAGTGGTTAAGGCATCCATCCAGTGACCAAAGAGTCGTGGGTTCAGTTCTGGTCAAAGGCATGTACCTGTGTAGCAGTTTAATCCCTGGGGCTCAGATGAGGATTTTTTTTTTTAAATGGAGCTGCATAATACGTTACCTTTCTTTCTTTTAAAAAAAATATATTTTATTGATTTCAAAGAGGAAGGGAGAAGGAGAGAGAGATAGAAACATCAATGATGAGAGAATCATTGATCAGCTGGCTCCTACCTGCCCCCTACTGGGGATTGAGCCCGCAATCTGGGCATGTGCCCTGACCAGGAATTGAACCATGACCTCCTGGTTCATAGATCGATGCTCAACCACTGAGCCATGCTGGCCTGACATACGTTATCTTTGGAGACTGACCTCATTTACTCAGCTTAATGCCTAGGAGATTCATCCAATTTGTTCATTCATTTTTCTGGCTGAGTAGTATGGCATGGACTGGGATTGCTGGGTATGTTGAGCTTTATAAGAAACTGCCAAACCATTTTCCAGAGTGGCTGTACCATTTTGCATCTGAACTAGCTATGTATGATAGTTCTATTTGTTCAACATCCTCAACAGCTTGGTATATTTTGTAATTATTTATCTTAGCCATTCTAATAGATATGTAGTGTTATCTCATCATGGCTTTAATTTAATATCCTTAATGGCTTATGATGTTGACCATCATTTTATGTGCTTATTTGCTAAACTTATATCCTCTTTGATGAAGTGTCTAAGTCCTTTCTCCTTTTTTTTTTTTTTTAATCATTGGATTTGTTTGTTTTTTTTAGTATCTGGAATACATTTATAAAATGAGATTTCCCCTCATCTATTCTTTGGCTTCCCATTAACATCATTCTTTTCGATGGCTGCACACAATTTCATAGTATAGCTGTATCATAGTTTATTTAACCAAAATCTAATTGAAGTATATTTCAGTTGTTTCCAATGTTTTGCTATTACAAACAGTGCTGTAGTGAACAACTTTGTGTGTGTGTGTGTGTGTGAGTGTGTGTGTGTGCACACACAGATATCTTCTACATACATGAAAGTGTGTCTGTACCATGAGTGTATAAGACTGCTTATTTTTCCACAACCTTACTGATGCTGAATATTATAATTATTTTTTTCATCTTTATATGTTATGATGATAAATAAATTCCTATTATTGATTAAAATTTTGCCTTTTTAAATTAATGAGGTTGAGCATATTTTTATATTTATTAACCATTTAGATTTCTTTTTTCAAAGTTTTCTGCTTACATAATATTATTAATATTTTTGTCTAATGTAGGTTAAATATATTTTTCCTGTTTCTGGTTTGCTTTTGTTAACTTTATTTTTTAATTTACAAATACTCAGACAAGAGAAACAAAAGAAAAACTATACCAAGGGGACTACATCAAACTTAAAAGATTTTGCACACCAAAACCAATAAATAATTAGCCTGCTAAACAGGAGAACATATTCGCCAATAATACATCTGATAAAGGGTTAATACCCAAAATTTATAAAGAACTCACACTACTCAACATCAAACAAAACAAAACAAAAACCCCACAATCCAAACAGTCCAATTAAAAAATGGGCAGAAGACCCGAATATACAATTCTCCAAAGAGGACATATGGAAGGTCAATAGACATATGAAAAGATGCTGAATGTCACTAATCATCAGAGAAATGCAAATTAAAACCACAATGAGCTATCACCTCATACCAGTCAGAACGGCTATCATAAGTAAATAAATCCATAAATGTTAAGTGTTGGTAAAGATATGGAGAAAAGGAAACCCTTATGCACTGTTGGTGTAACCACTATGGAAAACAGTATGGAGGTTCCTCAAAAAATTAAAAATGGGACTGCATTATGACCCAGCAATTCCAATTCTAGGTATATACCTGAAGAAATCCAAAGCATTAATTCAAAAGAATATATGCATGCCTATGTGCATTGCAGCATTATGTACAATCGCCGACCGACCTATGGAAGCAACCCAGATGCTCATCAATAGATGAGTGGATAAAAAAGCTGTGGTGCATATTTACATGGAATATGACCCACTCATACAAAAGATTGAAATTTTACACTTTGCGACAGCATGGATGAACCTGGAGAGTGTTAAGCTCAGTGAAATGAGTCAGTCAAAAGAAAGACAAATACCATATGATTTCACTTACATGTGGAATCTAAAGAACAAATAAATGAACAAAATAAACAGAAACAGATTCATAGATACAGAGAACAGACTGATGGTTACCAGATGGGAGGGGGTTGGGGGACTGGGTGGAAAAGTGAAGGGATTAAGAAGTACAAATTGGTAATTACAGAATAGTTACGGGGATGTAAAGTACAGCATTGGGAATATACTAGTCAATAATATTGTAATAACTATGTATAGTGCCTGGTGGGTACTGGACATATTGTGGGACAGGGGGAGGGGGGATACTTTGTAAGTTGTATAATGTCCAACCACTGGATTATACACCTATAACCAATATTATATTGTATGTCAACTGTAATAAAAAATAAAAAGTATTTAAAAAGAAATAAAATAATCTATCTACCATGAACCAAAAAAATCTACACATATTTTAAAATTTTATATACTAGGCATATCACCCTTTTCTTTGGTCACTTCTGAGTTCCTTGTTGTAATTAGAAAAGACTTGAATTACTTTAAGATTTAATTTGTATAATTACTTAAAACTACTCTGTTTTTTTGTTTTTGTTTTTTAACTGGATGGAATTGCCATTTTCAAAGGGAACCAGAAACTACTGTCAGAATTCATTATTTAGCAAATTTGTACTAAGAACATATGTTATTGTAGATTCTTTGCAAGGTTTGGCAATTAGCAAGGCTTTAAGAAACCATCCCTGCTTTATTTCTAGCTAGGTAAACAGACCCCTAAGGACTTATGATAGTACCTACCTTTTTAAAAAAATATATATTTTATTTATTTTTCACAGAGATGAAGAGAGAGGGATAGAGAGTTAGAAACATCAATGAGAGAGAATCATCGATCAGCTGCCTCTTGCACACCCCCTACTGGGGAAGTGCCCGCAACCAAGGTACATGCCCTTGCCCGGAATCGAACCCGGAACCTTTCATTCCGCAGGCCGACGCTCTATCCACTGAGCCAAACCGGTCCCGGCAGTACCTACCTTTTAGTGTATTTTTACAGGATTAAATGAGATGATAAAATATACAGTGCTTATAACTGTGACTTGCATTGAGTTAATGCAAAATAAAATATTACTCTTATTATTTTAAAATTTCTATTATAAACCTCTAAGTGTTATATCTCTTATAAGAACTTAGAAGAAGCATTCTGGGTGGTTTGTGTGTGTGTGTGTGTGTGTGTGTGTGTGTGTGTGTCTATCTGTCTGTGGAAGATTTAAAAATATTTTATGTATTTAAAAATGGAATTGTAAGATTAGTAATATGGTAGGAAGAAGAGCATTCTAGGCAGAAAGCAAGATTTTACAGGTATATAAGTAGCCGCAATATACAGAGATTTGAAAAGGGCAGAATATAAGGCCAAACAAATAAGTTAGTTGGGGCCTTGAATGGCATGCTAAGAAGTTTGAATTAACTTCACTGTCATTGTGAGGACAAACTCCTCCATCCATTCATTTAACAAATATTTTTTTGAGCACCTATATGAACCGGCACTATTGTAGGCACTAGGGATACAGTGGTGGAATTTATTTAGACAAAATCCGACCTAGATCTAGTTAGGTAAATCAGTAAACAACAGATTACCCATTGTGATAAGTAGTACTAGAATGAAAATAAACAGAATGACAATAGAAAACTGACGAATAACACTAGTTAGAAAGGTATGAAAACTGCCAGCCAGTCAGGTTTCACTTATAATGGAATCTAAATACAAAACAAAGTAAGAAACAAACAGAAAGAGACTCATAGGTACAGAGAACAGACTGACAGCTGTCACAGGGGAGGGGAATTGGGGGTTGGGTGAAAAAGGTGAAAGGATTAAGCAAAAACAGACAAACTCATAGAACAGTATGGTGATTGCCAGAGGGAAAGGGGATGGGGAGGCAGAGGTGGGTAGAGGGGGAAAATGGTGGTGGAAGGATACTTGACTTAGGGTGTTGAACACACAATACAATATACTGATGATGTATTTTAGAATTGTATACCTGAAACCTTTATAATTTTATTAACCAGGTAATCCCAATAAATTCAATAAAAATAAAAATAGGAAGGAAAAACCCCACTACCTTGCAGGTTCAAAAGGATAATAAGAAATTTGCCTGGTAAAGATATTTCAGGAAAACTACAGAAGAGAACCCCTGAATTTAAAATTCATAAAAGAAAGGTACTCATGATTTGGTATTGAGTGATTTTTCATATTTGCCTACTTCTAAAAAGGGACAAATGTTTGTGTGTCACTTCCACTTATATATAGTTATAACCACAGTGAGTCAGTTATAACAATTACTGTCTCTAGTAAAGTGGTCAGTTAGGTTTTCCATAAACTTAAACTGGCTACCTCTCCTTAAGCCTTCTGGCTAACCCAGAGTAGTTTAGCTTAGTTATATCAGTATTGCTTCTTCTTTTATTGTGGGGGGAGGGGTTTAATCCTCACACGAGGACATTTTTTCATTGATTTTTTTTTAGAGATTGTAAAAGAGAGAGAAACATTGATGTGAGAGAAACACATCGATTGGTTTACCTCCTGCATGTGCCCTGACCAAGG